AATGACCTGGTTTACAAATAAGAGGTGAATTCCTCAGCTAAACCTTTGAATGTCAGAGCACTTAGATGGGCTGTTTAATCCGTGTTTGGGCACTCAGCTTCTGATCTCAAATTCGCACCTCTTATTTGCATTCCTATTGCTGCATGAGCACAGAAACCTCCTTTTCATGAAAGGCTTCAGAATATGCCAAATAAACATGCTCAGTAGTATCTCAGCAAATGACTGCAATTCTGATTTTTACACCTACTTAAAAAAAAAATCCACTAAGCAAAACAAAACAAAAAGGAACACCCACCCCCCCCACCCCCAACAAACAAACAAACTAGGTAAAAAACCAAACCAAAACCAAACCCAAGAAGCTCTCAGAATGAATTATAAAGACCTTTTTAAGAAAGTAAAGAAACCCTCAGAACAGGAAACATTCTTGATAATAAGATCTTCCTGTTTTAAAAGAATCCTTCAACAGCACAGTCTTTAACAACTGGAACTTTTTATACCTTAGCCCTCCCCCAGTTTCCTAGTGTGCAATCAAAGCCACTTTTTATTATTGTTAGATGAAACACTGGAGCAGTCAGGGAAGGAGGGGAGGAAGAAAGCATGAAAAATAAAAATCAGAGCGAGTGATTAGAAGGAGAAGTTCCTTTTGTTTTTAAGAGATCTGTCTTTATTAACCTGAGTTAAACCTAAGGCATATCTTCCATGCAGCTGCCCAGAAAACCTGGGCATGGTTATGCTCCACAGGGCTGTCAGCCTTTGCTGTTATAATCGCTCTGAAATCATTCTGGTTTAGATGAAATGGATTTAACTTGGGCATCCTCACACTTCCAATTAGTACCATCGTTTTTGCCTCTGGTGTCCTTCAAATATTCATGGATGCCTGCTTCTTCTGCCATCTCCTCATTCTCCCTCTTGCCTCACTGTTGTGGCGTGCTGCTACTACTGTGTTTTTAATGCTAAGCCTTCCGTTTATAGTGCCAGCAGAGTAAAACATTCACAGGGAAATGTTGTGGAATTTTTTTTTTTTTCCAGACTCCCATGAATAATCATAGAGCTGCAGCATAGTAAAGTTTCTGTCTGGTAGATATGCCTATTAGATGTCATGGAAAGACAGATTAAAATTCGTTGGACATAGACAAAGAAAAACTATGGATCTACCCTAGAAAGGCATCTCTTGCATCCCCCCAGAGGGGAACTGCTTTTCTTTGTTTT